AAATTTTGGTTATTTATAAATCTCCCAAGTCATTCATCTCACTGAAATTGTCAGATTTATTATCATACAATGGAACATGATAGTCTTATATTGGTATTCTCTTATTTATTCCAGCTCCTTTCTCATTTTAATATTGTTTGTATATTTTTACTTCTTTTCCTTGATAAAACTTTATTTTATTGATATATATATTTTTTATTGAATATATTATTATTTTAATTTTCCTTCTGTTTTCTAATTCATAATTTTGGCTTTAAAAATATTTTTACTTCCTCTTTCTTTCCTCAGAGTTGTAGTTTTATCGCATATTTTAATATCTTAAGTTATATCCTTATTTAACATATTTGTATCCTTTCTTTTTATTAATAATAAAGCTATGTACAGCTATAAACTTAATCTAAAGGTTTTGGTATGCTGTGGTATCTTAGTTATAATTCTTTTTACCAAAACATTAACAAGAACACTATAAGCTACCTATATAGTACCATAGGCTACTACCACTCTTACCACTATAACTTGTTACACTCTGTTACCAATATTTTGGCTTCATTTTCTCTGTATTACCCCCAAAAGAGTGCTAAGTTAATAACAGTCTGAGAGCGGAGGAGGATCTGTTAAGCTGTTTTTCTTTTTTAACACTATAATAGCAAGCAATTAGAATGAGTTTCTTCAAGTTGTGGACTCTTCTGACCTATACACGTATACTTTCATAGCTTTTGAAAACTGGAAGAGAGCTTAGACCCAATCCGGTCCAAGATGAATCCAGAGTTGGTAAATAACCTTCCAGTTAAAATTTTAAAAAAAAATTGATACCACACAATTTCTAGAGCCAGGGTGAGTCTTTTGAATGAATGACTTAATAGCTTGATAGAGCTGCAAAGAATTTACTTTCAGCAGCTCCAATCTGGAAAACTCCCTCTGGAAATCCATTGATATCTATATTAGAGGGGCATTCTTTTTTTTTTTTTTTTTCGGTACGCGGGCCTCTCACTGTTGTGGCCTCTCCCGTTGAGGAGCAACAGGCTCCGGACGCGCAGGCTTCTCGGCATGTGGGATCTTCCCGGACCGGGGCACGAACCCGCGTCCCCTGCATCGGCAGGCGGACTCTCAACCACTGAGCCACCAGGGAAGCCTGGGGCATTCTTTTTTTATTATTGAAAGTCACGAGACTATGGACAATTTTCAACTGCTCACGTAAGAGATCAACGAAATGGAAAATCTGAAAAACAAAATCCATTTGAAACATGATTTGAAAAGCTGATGCTCTGGACATTCACAGCCTTCCAAATAAAGTACTGGCACAACCCCATGCAAACACAGCTCAGCAGGATGTATGAACTGGCTTGTTTTCTGCACAACTTTGTTCTCTTGCTTTTCCCGGAAATCATGTGGATGCTGAGAATAGACGCGTATTCTCCCCAGCTGATATCTAATTAATGTTCTGAAATGAGATGGCCTCCCATTCACAAAACTCAGTTTTCTCCTCGTACCTTTCCGTTTGCCCTGTCAATTTGTTTCTAAGATTTCTAGAGGGCAAATGGGAAGCTATTCGCTTGGAGTGAGCAAGTCAATCTCCTTTCCTTCTCACTCCTAGTAATTAGTCTATGAGTTCAAATCTGGCCCTAGGGTCAGAAGAAAGTGATGTTGTCAGTAAAGGAATTAAGTGGATACTGACAGAAAATCATTTGGAAATTGAGCTGTATTGATGTTGAGCTAATTCTCCTAAAACATTGCTCTCATCATGTTAATTCTGTTTTCAAAATTCTTCAGTGGCTCACCTTTGCCATTTCAGTCCTTCACAACCTTTTCCCTATCACGTGAAGCATAGGAAATTTTACTGAGCACAGCGGCAAACTGACAAGTATTCTTGTAGCAGAAAGAGGCTGGTTCAGGGGCCCTCTCTGCGGTAGGCCCTACGCAGCTGCACCAAGTGAAGAGAGATCAATATATTGGAAAACTCTGGCATCCTGCACAAAATGAAAAATTCGTACTTTGGCTTTCAAGTTATTCCACCATTTGCCTGCCAAACTGACTATCAATCTTTTTCTTTTATTACTTCCCTATATGGCTCTTCTTCTGTTTCAGCTATTTATTCATTCTATGCAAAATAATCATTGCACCTTAAGGTCTCTGTAACTTTTGCTTATGCCTTTTGATTTACATGGAAAACCCTCTCATTCTCCATAGTCACCAAAACCCTAACCATCATTCAAGACCCCAACCCACAACTCACCTCCTTCCTAAAACCATTTTTGACCATGTCAGAGAAAGCAGGTAGTATTCTCAGATGACTTTTGGGAATTTGGGAGGTCCTCCTGCAGGATATGGGAGCTGAGCAAAGCCTTGAAGGATGAGTAGGAATGGAGAGGTGACTAAGAGGGAGATGAGAAGGGCCTTTCAGATGGAGGGGCTTGAATGCAGTCCAGGAGTTACTACGTATCAACCTTACCTGGAAAGATTTTGAGTTCTTAGGTCAGCAATAGGACAAGAAATCTGTATTCTTAGAAGGAAAAGCCTAAATACAGATCTGAACACGTCACAACCTTGCCTCAAAATCACAAAAAGATCCCTTTGTCCCACAGGATAACATTCAAATCCTTTAGCATTACGTGTGACACCGTACACAAGGGTCCCCAAGCCACCTTTCCAGTCTCATTTCCCGTTATTTCTCCAACACACCACACTTCCTACTTTTCCACAAAGGTGCCCCGTTCTTTTACTTCTCTCTGTTTTTGCTCTTGCTCTTATCTCTTTCTGAGAAACTCTTCCTTTCTAGCTAATTCTTGCCCCTCCCTCCTGTGGAAAGTTCTTCAGGGCTCGCAGTGAGAGTGGCTTTCTGATCCCCTAGCCCATGATGCCTGTTTTCTATACAGTGAGTGTTAGACAATGGGATCACTGAAGAGAGGAACTGTGCTTTGTTTAATTTTGTTTATTTTTGTATACCCTATCCCTGTGATGTGCACAGTAAGGTCTCAATACATCCTGGCTGGATGATTGAATTAACTGTCGATAGTACCCCATGCTTTCAGAAGCAAATGCAAATTCAGTCACAGACTACCTCTTACAAACAGTTTACTCCATAGGAGTCAGCATGATTCCCCACAGTTTTCTGGATTGTTCTTATAAGCAGCTTGGATGGCTGCAGAATGCTTCTCAGTTCCCGGGTCTCCATATACACATGCTCCTTCCAAAGCAAAAGCCCTTTTTCTTTCCCAGTTACCTCCTGACTCAGCTGAGCCTGTTGAAGAGCCCCTGTAAGATTTCATTTCCTTGACTTAAGCTACAATTTTAGCCCAGCACACCGTCATTCATCACCATCATTCATTGCTAAGATTGCGGCATGCTGCTTATCTGCATGCAGTCATTCCCTGGGCAAGAAATAATGCATTATTAACACAGCTTTATTATCAGGCCCAAGTTTGGCAGACAGAGCAACATTAGAGGATAATTGGAAGGACAGCTGATTTGTTAGCAAAATGTTGCTTTTTGGCTAATGAATCATTCTGATTTTTGCCCTGACAGCTCAGAAACAAGCTTGAAGACTACTTTGCTTCAGACCATTAAACTTTGACAAACCAGATTATTAACTATAGCTAGAGCCAGCGATCTCTGGGGCTTATTGCAGTTATGAGCCTTCTATGCAATTTTTTAAAATCATTAGTTGAGACAAGGTGAGTCTGATGATGGAGGGGCTGATGACTGACAGTCTCCATCACTTTGTTGCACACAAGGCAATAAACAGCTTCTGGGAGGACTAATCAGTCAGCGGAAGCTCTTTGCTGGGAAGATGCAGTAACAACAATAAAGGTTATTGCACTCAAACAACAGCCCTGTTCGAGAAGGAAAAGATAAGGTTGTCCCTTTGACTTCTATTTTAGAGGTTGGAGGTCTTTGCACAAAGGAGAACTAGACAGAAGTACAGGGAACACACCAGATGGAGAGAAAAACAAGGCAGGTGTCCTATGGCTTGGGTTCTCTTCCTGTGCTTTATTGGACTGTTGGTACATTCAAGATGATCATACTAAGTGAAGTAAGTCAGACAGAGAAAGACAAATATCATATGATATTGCTTATATGTGGAATCTAAAAAAATGAAACAAATGAACTTATTTACTAAACAGAAACAGACTCACAGACATAGAAAATAAATTTATGGTTACCAAGGGGAAACGGGGTGGGATAAACTAGGAGTATGGGGTTAACATATACACACTACTATATGTAACATATACACACTACTATATATAAAATAGATAATTAACCAGGGCCTACTGTATAACACAGGGAATGCTACTCAGTATTCTGCAATAACCTATATGGAAGAAGAATCTGAAAAAGAATAGATATATGTATATGTACAACTAAATCACTTAGCTGAACACCTGAAGCTAACGCAAGATTGTAAATCAACTCTACTCCAATATAAAACAGAGAGTTTTAACAAAGAATCTCATTGGAAGGTACCTGCCCTTTCTCCTTACTCCTCCCCACTATTCATAACAGCGATCTCAAAACCAGGTGGATAACATAAAGTAGCGGAGCAGAAGGAAGTGGTAAAGACTGTGGTAAAATTACAAGTCAAATAACAGCGCATCAGTGGGCCAGATTGTGTCATTTGGTTTACAGACCAAAGTCCAGGTCCTCAGTCTGGAGACCCTTTCAAGCTGGCCTGCACCTCTCCTGCCTCCTCTTTCTCTATTTCTTTGGAATCCTCTTGCCCCAGTCTAACTGGGATGTCCTTCAAATGTTCCCCACACTTTATCCCAGGAATGGCCTCTCTTGTGCAATTCACTTCTACGTGTTCAAATCCTACCCACTCTCTGGATCTTGGTTTCTTTACTTGTCAAATTGGGGAAAAGAGGTGGATTAAATCAAAGTGAAGACCCTTTCTCGTCTTCAGTTCTGTGAGTCTGTGGCATTTTCACCAACTGCGGTTAGTATGTATATGATCTAGTTGCACTCTGGGGCCCTAACCCCATATCCTACTCTGCATCCCCTAGGTGGACACATTGCTGGGAGTCTTGCTGTCATCACAGACGCTGCCTATCTCTTAACTGACCTGACCAGTTTCCTGCTCAGTCTCTTCTCCTTGGGGCTGTCATCGAAACCCCCCGTCCAAGCGGCTAACATTTGGATGGCACCGAGCAGGTACAGTTCATCAATTGAGCATTGACACAGAGTAATGCTGCAGAGTCAAACCGAGGATAAAAACGGAAGGGACACTGCAAAGCCTTGTTTGAAAATCCCTTAGAGGCACATCTCTGATTCACAGGGTGAAATAGATGTGTACGTGGTAATGTGTGTTCTCAATGCTAATTCCGCTAACAGCCAGATTAATGGCGCTACCTCTACTCCAATGGGACAACAGGAACACATACGTCACTTTAGCAAACACCCCAGTCCAAGAATCTCAGTGTGCGGTAACAGCCATGATACTATTCATTAAATGACTCGGCATCTGGGAGAGAGCGTGGGGTGAAGCTTCTACCATTTTGCAGAGTAAAGCAAAGAGAGCTGGAGAGATTGAAGAACTTCTTATAGGGGGGCTGGGGAGAGAATATGGACTTTCCTGCTCACACCGCATTTAGCCATTCAGCGAATGGCTCAGCTGGATATCTTGTTCAATCAGCCACATCAACAACAACAAGAAAAGGAGGAGGAGGAGGAAGAAGAGGAAATGAAAGTTTATTTTTCCTCTTTCTTAGATCTGGTTCTTTGACGAGTGATAGCTTGCTCTTGTCTAGGAATGGGCCCAGGTATGATGAGTGTTTACTACCTGGGAAGCTTTTACTTTGGCTCATTTTTACAATCCACCCCTTCTCTCCAACACATACTGTCACTCCACTTCTCCGCCTCTGGATTACTCCTTATATCAGTTGGAGGAGCTACTGGCCGAATGTACAAATCATGTGTACAAAGAGCTACAATTGCATATTTTCACACCAGTTGAGAAAATCAATGTGGAGATCTGAGGGCAGAGCTTTGGGCAACATGCTAACACAGCCAGCCTTCACCGAAAGGTGCCAAGATTGCGGTTTCAAGTTTAGAATGATAGGAAGTTCTAATTTCATGTCAAACAACTTATCAGCACAGGTGTTTTGGATTGCCTTTCCTTTAACACTGAGAGAGAGAGAGAGAGGGAGGGGTGAGGCAATAAACATCAATAAGAAGACTTGGTGACAATGTGATTTAAGATGCTTTTCAGTCCCCGCATAGGGCTACACTTGGAAAACATGTACCTTTGGCTGAGTACCCATCATTTTTCTGCATAAATTTTTACACGTATTTTACCCTGTATGACGCCATTGGTCAAAGCTGCTTTGTTAGCACAGGGAAGACTCAGAATTTAGATTGCTGCTTGAACTTTCTCATCCTGGTGATGGAAGTCCGTGAGCACTGACACTATAGAAGACCAGGGCTGTTCAATAGGGCTTCTCTGCTTCAAGGGAAATACTGTATAATAGATAATACAATGTGGTCCTGGAGCACTTTAGATGTGGCTATAGTTCTACTGAAGAACTGGATTTTTAATTTTACTTATTTTAAATTTAAATATAGCCACATGTGATTGATGGCTACCATATCAGGCAGCACCTCCATAGACATATAGGTGAAAATCAACTAGCACAGATCAACTAGCACATGTTTGTTTACATCAAACATGTAACTTCATGGATAACTCTGTTGAGGAATAAGCTAAGTACAAAAAGTGAGTTTATGTAAAGATAATGGTAATACATTCACCCCAATGCTCATAGCAACATCATTTACAATTTCCAAGATATGGAAGTAACCAAGAGCTGAGGGGATAAAGGTGTAGTATATATATACACATATATACATACGTATACATACACATACAATGGAATCCTACTCAGCCATAACAAGAATGAAATTTTGCCATTTGCAACAACACGGATGGACTTGGAGGGCATTATGCTAAGTGAAATAAGTCAGGCAGAGAAAGACAAATACTATGTGATATCACTTATATGTGGAATCTAAAAATGACAACAAACCAGTAAATATAACAAAACAGAAGCAGACTCACAGATGGAGAGAGCAAACTGGAGGTTACCAGTGGGGAGAGGGAAGCGGGGAGGGGCAAGATAGGGGGAGGGGATTAAGAGCTACAAGCTATTATATATAAAATAAATAAGCTACAAGGATATATTGTACAACACAGGGAATCTAAGCAATAATTTATAATAACTATAAATGGAATATAACCTTTAAAAATTTTGAATCACTATCTAATACACCTGAAATTTACATAACATTGTAAATCAGCCACACCTCAATAAAAAAAAAGTGGAGTGTTAAGTGGCCCATGAGACAGGGGGCGTGTGAATATGGTAAAATTCATGGAAGTGTATGTAAATGACTGAAGTCTGGGAAATAATATGTTACATTGCTCTGCTTTAAAAGGGGGAACGTCGGAATTATGACGTGCCTGACCACTGACTCACAGAATATTTCTAGAGCCTTGTAGGCTTTTAGAACCTATTTACAAGATTGAGTGAAAGAGCAAGGCGAGGTGTAAGGAACTTCTAAGTGAGCAAACATACTTCACTTCGAGGGAAGCTTGAACACTATCTTATCTTTAAATGTTCATGTAAATGTCTCCATTCTGACACGTCTTTTCCTTACTCTTGTTTGTAAAATGCAGTTAGAGTGTTGATATACCTTGGAGTTTGCCTCTGTGTTTATAATATGTTGGGTTGGCATATGAAACTCATTTTCATTAAGTCTCTGAAGGATTCCCTTTTTACAATTTTACAGTGCTGGCAAGTTGTAAATGTTTTATGGCAAAATTAAGAGTTTCTAAACACATTCTACTCTTTGTGTCCCATTATTTCATCTCCTAATAAGTTTCAATCATTTTAGCACCTGTTTAAATTAAAATCCCTCAGGAAAACAGCAAGGGTAGGCAGCCATTAATATGCTTTAAAAATTTGCTGAAAATTACTTAGTAATATGGAGCATAATGAACTCAGACACTGGCGTTTTATGAATACAACATTAAAGTGTCTCATCTTAGTGCTAAAATCCATCCACACTTTTGCTTTGCGAATCACCGAGTGAGCTAGTGTGAAGCCTCTCTTTTTTGGGGGGGGGAATGGAGCATTAATATCTTATGACTCTTGGGGAGGTTAAGGTGATTCACAAATTCTTTGTGTATGTGTGTCTGTGTGCTTGAATTCCTAGAGATCCTTGGTGCCCTGCTGTCCATCCTATGTGTCTGGGTGGTGACTGGTGTGTTGGTGTACCTAGCGTGTGAACGCCTGCTGTACTCCAATTACCAGATCCAGGCGACCGTGATGATCACTGTTTCGAGCTGTGCGGTGGCAGCGAACATTATGTAAGTCACCCCACACACTGCCCGTGAAGCTTGTCTGGACATAGATTTGTGGGTTTGTTGTTGTTGTTATTGTTTCTTTTTAATTCCTCCACTTGTGAGGATGGTAGAGACCTGACAGAGTGTTCAAATGGCTCTAAGACTGAAAATAGGGCTGGTTGTGCTAGTTTAAGTTACAGTGTGTTTTAATATTGGCTTCTAATAGCTACCATTTTGAATGCTTCCTATGTGTCAGAGACTGCGCTGAGATCTTCTGATCTATTTACATTATCAAGCTCAATGTTCACAACACTCATACCATACAGGTTAGGAAATTGAAGCTCAGTGAGGTTAAATAAACTGCCAATGAGGCAGTGCAGAGCAGGATTTGAAAACAGACCCACCAAACCCAGAATTGAGCTTCTAGCCACTCTACTCTCTCACACAAATTGATGGTTCCATGTGGGATGTGACTTACTCCTATTCTTTTTGTTACATGAACACATTATGAGTTCCTACCGACCTGGGTTGGAAGAGATCATAAATTTTATTTACTTCAGTCCCCTTTCTACTTTTGAATTCTCTTTTGCAATATCCCCATAAAGTGGCCATTAGTTTCATATATTTTAACAGAATAATAGGGAACTTATTTCTCTCAAAAGTAGTCTATCTTATCTTTGCATCATTATGATTGCATGAAAACTCTTAAGCTGTGCTAGCTAAACTCTCTCTTTAGCTTCCATCTCTTGGTCCATTCTCTCATCCAGGCAGTCTTAAATCATTCTTAGAGGAAATGTGATCATGCCCTGCTGGACATGTGATCATTGCCATACTGGTCTGGTCTTCCCAAATGAACTATTTGATTGCTCATGACAATGCGGAGCTGAAGCCAGGGCTTTGATCCTTTTTGGTTGATTCGATCTTTCCTATTTGATAGTCTGATTTTGGGCAACCTTACTTAAAACTCTATCTATCTATCTATCTATCTATCTATCTATCCACCCATCCATCCATCCATCTATCCATCCATCCACCTACCTACCTATCATCTGTGGTAGTCACAATAATGGCCCCTCAAAGATTTCCACATTCGAATCCTTGGAACCTCTGAATATGCCAACTTAATGGTAAGAGGAACTTTGCAAATGTGGTTAAGGATGGATCTTGAGAAGGGGAGACTATCCTGAATTATCCAGACAGGCCCAATGTAACCACAAAAGTCCCTTATAAGAGGGAAGTATGAGGTCAGAGGGGAGAGAAGACGCTGCATTGCAGACTTTGAAGATGTAAGTGACCTCTAGAAGCTGGAAAAGGTAAGAAAATGAATTCTCTCCCAGAGCCTCCAGAAGGAATGCAGTCCTGCACACTCATTTTAGACTTCTGACTTCCAGAACTGTAAGATAATAAATATACGTTGTTCTAAGCCACAAAGACTTTGTGGTAATTTGTTACAGCAGCAATAGAAAACCGTCTATGTATCACCTGTCTATCTTGCAATGTAACATGATACATTCAATGAGGTAGGTTCACGAATGGAAGAAGACAGTGACGAAGAATGGCATTTTAAACAGCGTTTTTTTGTTTTTGTTTTCTGAGAGCGGGCACAAAGGAATCCCTGGAATTAGAGGGTAGTCTGAGCGTGTGTACTTTGAATAAGTTCCTCCAGGCACTTTCACGTCCTTAGCTTGTACCTGCCTCGGTTCCTCATCCCTTAGTTCGGGACCCATTTGCTCAAAATCTCTAAGCTAAACCATTAGAAGCGTGGTATCTGATCTGCGGTCACTGACTAGATCCACTATTTCTACCCAGTTAACTTGAAAATGTGTTTCATGTTGGCCCTGGGAGAAAAAGTATGGCAAGATCAATGCAAATCTATCACTACTAGGAGTCAAATAAGCCAGACCACATGCCCTGCTGACTGGGAGTCAATATCATCATCTTTGCATAAGAAGAACAATATGTCCCCAGGGCAGCAGGAACAATGAAAATGTTAATAATTTCCCGAGTCATATGTCACATAGGCTGTGTGTATGCTGCGTAAAGATGAAGAATGCACCCAGTTAACTACCACAGAAATCTGGCACCTTGATGATCGAGTGTGACTTTCTAAATAGATACCATCCAAATTTTCTTTTTACTACAACTGCTTTCGAACTTCGACCCTAATACTGCATGTGCTTTTCATGCTTACAAAGACCAGGGAATTGGAAAGCATTGACTTCCCTGTGCAAGCAGGCAGTTATTTATGGATAAGGATACTGAGTGACTAAAATGTTTACTCCCAGAACTGGGATTACAGGTTTCAAGTTCTGCTAGATGCTGTATTGTCTGACCACAGAGATATCAGAACCATAATTTGGGAATAAATCTATTCCTTGGGAGCCCAAAATCAAGGTAGAAAGTTCTAACAGAAGTTGCTAAGGGATTCTCGGATGAAGATTACTGACAGCGCCTTAAGGCTAAGTTTTTCTCTGACTGCAACATTTCCTAGCCTATTTAACTAGCCTATTTAACTCTAGTATAACCTTTCAAATCCAACTCAATTGCCTTGTCTAACTAAATCAGAGTCCCCTGTTGTACTATCTGTAGCACCAGTTCTTGATAGACTTAGTATAATTAGAATTTTCCGTTTATGTGTGTCTTTCTAAAATCTCTGCCATCTCCATCATACTTAAAGCTACAATGGGGGAGGGACTACGTCTATTTTCACCCTTATGCCCCAAGCATTTAATAGTGCCTGGCATATAAGAATTCCTAAGTTTTTTTTTTTTAATACAAAATGAGTAAAAGAGTGAGTAACAATGTGATGAGCATACATGGCAGACCTAGAAAGAAAGTCTATTAACTTCTTTCTAGGTCTGCCATGTATGCTAGGCATGTTAGGCATGTTAGGTTGTCTGAAGAACTTTAAATGGTAACTCCTAATTGAGGGTGAATTTCTGCCCAAACACTGACAATCTAAAAACTGTAAATTATGTAATGTTCACATCATGGTGGATAGCAGTCTCTCCGCTTTGTGATGATGACCTGAGATTTAACACTTTACCCACAAATAGATTGGGATACATGGTACTGAAAAATTATTTTTTTAAACCTTTGTTCCAAAATGCACAGAAAACGTTTCTAGGCAAAACATAAGAGATATTACTCCTAAAGTTGTGGATAATAGAATCAGGTACATAATTTATAGGGCCCACTATTAGTCTCTTTGACTTGGATTGGAGCTGTTAAATTTTGCAATACGTTATATATACATATAACATTTATATACATTATAATACATTAATATATTTCAGTCTCTTGATAAATAGCTGCATATACATAAGCACAGTACTCTCATCATTGGCCATTAGGGAATTATTCCAATTTCCAATTCTCATGGAAATGAACAAAATTAAGTAAAATAAAAGATTAAAAAATCCAACTTTGATGAAATTCCCTACTTATTTTGTTTTATTGTTTTCTGCTGCTTTTTTGCATTTGAAACCAGCACATTTAATTAAGCTCCCACCAAAGCTCAGCTTTAAGCCTAGCTCAGTGTCTGACATTCAGTAGACCCTCAATAAATGATATTTCCCCTCCTCATTGTCAAATACTTGGCATTTACCTAAGAGGTGATGGTTTCCAGTTTTAAAATGAAACAGAGTAGCATTAATTAGATGGAAAAGAAAACTGAGGTGAATCTTCATTGTCTATCCTTGTGTGAAATTTTTTAAATTCCATGATACCCTTGTGTTCAAAATTAGTTCAAAATAGTCCACTATAAAGCATTAATGTTTCAACTCTTTGTCATTTTGGGTAATACATGCTGTCGTCAACTCCCCCATTGTGCTGCATAGATTTTTAAGGGTTAATCTCGTGGGCCAAGGACACTGTTTTTTCTTCCAGACTAAGTGTGATTTTGCACCAGAGACACCCTGGCCACAATCACAAAGAAGTGCAAGCTAATGCCAGTGTCAGAGCTGCTTTTGTACATGCCCTTGGAGATCTATTTCAGAGCATCAGTGTGTCAACCAGTGCACTTATTATCTACTTTAAGGTGAGTATGTTTGAGTTTACTCACTGTCTTAGTGATTTTATAGATTAGGTGGTACAGAAGCTGACCCTACATTATTAACTTAAATGAGGGTGGACAGCCGGTTTGCCTACACAAAGTACTTTACAAGGTTTAAACAAAGAAACTTTCAAAGCTTGAGACCTTAGACTTTCCAAATTCCTAAGAGCTATGTCTTTAACTGTAGTGCTGCCCATCTTTCAAGAAAGTAGTTCCTTCTGTTCTGTGGTTAAGATGGATTGCAATGGAACCATGAATAACTTAGGGTTCTTGGGTTGTAATCAACAGAAAAGATCTGTAGCTCACTTAAGCAAAAAGTAGACTCATTGGCTGAAATTTATTGGATGTACTCCTCTACAGAAATCAAGGTAGAATAAAGAGCAACTTTTGGTATCTAGATTTCAGAAACCATCCAACTTCTGTCCTAGGCACCATGATGAAATGAATGAGACTCAACTAATTTTTTTCCTGTTCTTGTCACTCCGCTGAAGATTCGTATTTCTGGGAGATGGAGCCCAACTGACACAGGTTGGGTCTTGTATCTGCTGTTTGGCTGGGGAGGGTAGAGCACCTGACTGACTCTCCCACCATGGGAGACAGGTAACTTATTTCCAAAAAGTCAGGGTGTCAATTGAAACTTGGAATAGATCCTGAGTGGGCCTCTGACCCCAAACAAATATTCACTACAAATCTCTATTTGGTAATACCAAGAACCAACAGAGTTGGGTAAGCGTGGAGGTAAGGGGTTAATGGAGGAGGGGAGCGTATAGCTCTGTCTGTTCGCATCACGACTGCCCAGTTAGCAAGGACTCTATTATTTTTAGTGGAAAATGAAAACATGTAAATAAAAATTACAAAGACATGTCTGAATTCAATTGAGCAGATCCTCACTAAAAGCTTTAAGTTTAAGACCAAATCGTTCAAAATTGTAGGGTGAGTGAAGCTTGAGAGTACTCTTACCAAGGTTATTCTTGCCAGGTTTCTTAGAAGTAATGAGGCACAAATTTTTCTGTGGCACAGGACTTCATCAAGGGCAGAATAGCAGGTGTTTTACCCTGAGGCCAAGGGCTCCAGTGGTGAGAGAGCACGAGAATGAGGCCTCAGTACATATTCTTTGGACTGTATCAAAGATGCCTGCCTTGAGTATGTGTCATATTTAAGAGGGAAAGAAGTAAACTAACCCCGTCTGCCAAGACCAAGCTCTGGCTATACCTTGGTTACATGCAACCTCTGAACAAATGATATCCTTTCTTTTCATCATAATTAAGACTGAAAAGTCATTGAAGGTTGTACAAATGTGTGCATGTTTTCATCACATTCTCTGTACTTCCATTAATTTGAGAGAAGTTAAATCAGGCCTTTTGAGAGAGCACTCAAGGATATCTCTCTTTTTACTTCTTAAATTGTGGGGAGAGCATATGCCCTATGGTCTCCCTTTCTTGAGTCACTGAGAGTTGAAAGCTTAAAAGAAGGACTGAGTCTTCAGAAGTCTTGCCTCTGAGTTGGGGTTCAGTGTCAGGAGGGTGAATGGGTGACAGGGAGGGAAGGAAGCGTGAAGGTTTACTGATTTTTATCAATCAGACTTTCCGCATGGGAGGCCTGGATTCAATTAACTGAAATCCCCATCTTTTCTAGCCAGACTATAAAATGGCTGACCCGATCTGCACATTTGTCTTTTCCATCCTGGTTCTGGCCAGCACCATCACTATCTTAAAGGACGTCTCCATGTTACTCATGGAAGGTAGGAATGATTTTCTTATTATTCCCAGCATCCGTGTTTTCTCTTCCTTATAATCACAAAAGGGAACGGCCTCAAGGCATGCTCACTGTGAATCTGCGTTATAGGGAAAATGTAAACTTACAAGAAATTTTTGTGAAAAAAATTATGAGTTTTATTCAAATGGGAATACATAAATAAAAAGGCAAATACCTAAGAAATATTGAATAAATCTATCCCTCAGGCAGCATTATAGCTACTATGAAGGACTTGCCTAAATGCTCATTAGACTAGGCCAGCAGTTCTCAGACAGTGGCATCAGAACCACTTGAAGGGTCTGTTAAAACACAACTGCTGGGCCCACCCAACAGTTCCTGAGACAGTAGGCCTGGGGTGAGGCCTGAGAATCTGAATTTTAACAAGACGTTGCCGCTGCTGGGTGGAGGCCCGTACTTTGAGAACCACTGGACTAGTCTCTTCATACCCCTGAAAGGGTTCTTCCATGAGGGCACTGGGAGCAGCGCTTAGAAAATTCAATCACAACCAGAGGTTTGCATCTTATCAAACATTCAGATGATCAAAAATAGCCATACATCGGCTGAGCTTCTCTTTCCTGTCCAGCACATTTTGACCGAAGGTAGACACAGTCTATCTATATAAAAGCTGTAGAGTACAGCTGCCTTCACGACAGCTCACCCTTCCCTAGCTTAGCATTCACTACCCAGTACACGTTTAAAGGTCTTGTTCTCAGAGGGCATGATAATCGTTGGTAGGTGATAATGTTGATTGGCCACAGTGAAACAGAAAACGGAGTCAAACATCACTGAGTAACAAGTGAATGTCCTCACTCAGAAGGGGATAATATTTGGTTTGTCAAGTCACAGATGCATCCATTTCCTTTTCTGAGGGCCAAGCACTGAGCTGCAGCTGTTACTGCAGTTACGGAACTTACTGACTTGAAGGTGGAGAAAAGACAAATGTGTGTACAATGTGAGATGACTATATTCCACTTTATCTCTCAGTACAGACCTTCTCTCATGATTATCTTTTTTTTATTTAAGCAAAAATGTAACTAATTATTGAAACTGGCAGGTAACTCCTATCTGGAAGATGCTTAATTTTTAAATTAGGTTTTCAAATTAGGTTAGCATAAAATAATACATGTACTTGGTAAAATTAAAAAAAAAAAGATGGAAAGGTATAAAATGATAAGAAAAAGTCTCTCCATTTTTCTACCTTTGAATTCTCAGTCCCATTATTCAGGAGTAACACCTACTAATAAGTTGACATATATCTTTCCAAAAATATCTATGCAGTTACACATATATGTACACGTAATATACATATATACATGTGTGTATATGTGTGTGTGTGTGTGTGTGTGTGTGTGTGTGTATAGTGCATGTGTCTTTTTTACACAAACTAGGATTACATACATATTTTGTTCTGCAGCTTACTTTTTTCAGCTGGAGATCTTTCCATATTAGTACATACATAGATACACCTCATTCTTTTTCGTGGATACAAAGTATTCTATTCTACTGTAAGCACATATCTTAATACCTGCTTATTAGACAGACATTACTAATAATGCTGCAATTATATTTTTAGCACTTGTATATCTAATTATTCCTAGATAATAATATTCCTAGATAATAATCTAATAATTCCCAGAAGTGTATTGCTGTTTCAGAAGTTATGTGCATTTTAAAATTTGATAGATATTGCCCTTTCTACCAAAGATACCATATCAATTTCTTTCTTACCAACAGCATATGAGAGTGTTCATTTCCTCACATCATCACCATCACTGGGTACTGTCAAACTGTTGATTCTCTTCTAATCTGATAGGTGAATATTATCTTATTGATTCCATACACTAGTCTTTAATTATGAAGTATACTGAGTGATTTTTCATACACTTATTAGCCTGGGTAATTATTTTTTTGAAAACGAATCTGGGTATTTTCCTGGATGCATTAATATTTTTGCAGGCTCTCCCCCAGAAAGAAAAAGCTTTCTAAGGTGTGATGAAACATTGAGGCCAATGGGAACATATCCTTTTGCTTGTCAATATTATTTCATAGAGTAAAATAAGTAACAGTGGACTTGCATTCTCCATAAAAGTCAAGTGATAAAGGAGGCAAGAGGAAAAGAGGTAGTGGGATCATTACTTCATCTCAAGGGTCCTAGATGAATGACAGCAGGTCTTCAAAGGGTCAAATGAAACTCTCCAGAGATGACACATTGGGCATAATAGTCAACTTTGGGTTACAGTACGTGGAGTCTAGCATTTGCATGACACTCCACATGCAGAGCACGTACCTTAGAATCTGACATCCCACTTACCTATGTGGCCTTAGCAATTCTTCTTAACCTCTCTGACTCCCACTTTCTTCTCCAGTCAAACAGGAGTTGTAACACTCATTAACTAGCTCTTAAAGTTCTTATGACTATTAAATAAAATAATCGCTATAAATAAAGTGCTCAACACAAACCTTGACATGCAGCTTCTCAATAAAGGTGTTATTATTATGATGATGTAACATTTTCACCCATGACTCCATGTATATTCTATGGCTAATCTGAGACAAGAACTTCTTTGTTTCTAGTACCCTGAGCTTTGTGCAGCTCACAGAGTAAAAAACCATGTTGACAAGGTCTATGAAATATGAAGTGGGACTAAACTAAACTCAAACTGTAGTGAATTTTAAATTATAGCCTCAAGGAGGAAATCCCCATGAGCAAGGTTCTTAAATCCTGAAAAAGGAGAGTTAAGGATTCCCTATTCCTTTTAAGTATGTGGTTCTCTACTAGCTTCTCATTACAGTCATCTGGAAGGTTTTAATAAATACTTATACCCAGGCCCTAGACCCAGAGATTTTGATTTAATAGGGGCTGGCTTTGATGGTTTTCAACATGCAGCCAAGCTTGAGAACCACTGCAAGGTAGAGCTGCCCAGTCGCTGGTAAATATTAGTGTAATGGTCCTCTACCTTGAATCACCAAATGAGCTAAGCAAATACTGATGCTGGGTCTTATCGCCAGAGAATCTGACTTAATTGGTCTTGGGTGTAACCCAACAAATCATTTTAGAAATTTCTAAATTTCCTGATCATTTTAGAAATCATCAGGATTTCTAAAATCCCCCGTGACACTAATGTGCATCCAAGGTCAAGAACCACCATGAAAGCACATAGATTTCAGAGCCTCATCCACAGAAATTTTCTTCAGGAGCATTTTAATGGAGCCAAGGCATATTTATTTTTCACAAACACACCAGGTGTTTGTGATGTATGTATACGATTGAAGTGGAAGCTAAAAAGTGTTCATCCTTAGAAATCTCTTCTATGGCATCCTCTTTGGATCAACTTTAGTTGACAAGGATTTACCTATTGCATCAAATGGCTTTACCACGTTTGTACTAGTTGAGTTGATTCTTTTTAAAATTCTTATATCAAACCGATGTCTTCTATGATTTTAACCAACCATTGACTCAGGCCCTTACACTTTCATATCCTGTCATCTTCTATGTGACAATCCTTGCAGTGTTTGAAAACAGTGATCCTACTTCCCTTAGCCTTCTCATCTTGAGGCTAGAGACACCCCAGTTCCTTCAGCCCCAAAGAATAGCTGATTGGCTGCCAGACTTCCCACCTTCCTGTGTGTCCCACACTGTTCCTTTAGAAACAAGGATGAAAGTCAAACTACTACATTCTGTGGCCCTAATATTACACCCTAAGATACCTAAAATAAATAATGAGATGGTATTTCAACATTAGGATCCCCTATTAACACCGTTCACTAAGTGACCTGTTGGATAACTAACACTTGTATAGCAGTAGAGTTTTCAAAGGACAGATATCTTCTGAGATATTTTCAGAGTCCCCAAAGGACTCTGTTAACTACATATTGTTCTTATCATCCCTATTTTACTAAAAATGTTCTAAGGATTAGACAAGTTCCAAGAGTTGGGGAAATTCACAATAGCTGTAGTCAGATGCCAACCCGCGATAATTTGATACCAAATCCCATGTGACTTCCTTTTGCTTTCCAGGTAATTTCAAAGATAACCGGGTAAACCATATACTCTGAAAATGAAGGGTGATGACTGTTGTTGATGACTGCCTAGTAAAATCTGCAAATATTCTTTGTGAACCTGTGACTGACGGTAAAACCTCTGAAATAGTCAGGTGAATCTGCTTTGTAAATATTTGAAATAAGAAACCATAAATGGAGAGGGCAAATTAATATTTTACTAAGGACTTTGCGTCCTCGATTGGCCATTGCACTGAGCTGTATTTAGTGAAATAACAACAGCCGCCCACTCTGTCGTCTTGGCAGGTGTGCCAAAGAACCTGAGTTACAGTGGTGTGAAGGAGCTCATTTTAGCGGTGGATGGGGTGGTGTCTGTGCACAGCTTGCACGTCTGGTCGCTAACAATGAACCAAGTGATTCTCTCAGCTCACGTTACTGCAGGTCAGTGAGTTTTGTAAACACCCTGGACGAAACTCAGTCCTTGTCCTGTAAAGTCCGTAGTTTCCCTCCTTTTGGTAGAGGAGCCCTTAGTGTCTGTTGCCCCTGCCAAAACAACTGTAAAGTGTTTTGTGTGACCAAGGGCCTTTGAAAATCGACCCCCTTGCCAGCGTCGTCATGGCAACAGTGATACTTATGACAACCCTGGAGGCCAACTGCAGAGGGTTAGAGAGTAGAGCAAAAGGTTAAAATGCCACCCAAACTTCAAGGCCTTAAACTCTGTTTGACTTGATGTCCTATCAGTTAAATAAGAGGAAGAATTTAAGAAGAAATCTTCATTGAGTATCTCTGGTGTGTAAGATGCTTTGCCTATCACCAAAGAGAGAAAGATGGTCCCATCCTTAAGGTTCTCAAAAGTTAAAAGATATTCTAGTCAGAATTAATGGTGGTTCCTTTACTGAATGGTTAGAAATTCTGTAACCATGTGAGATAACTCTTAGGATTTGGGGTTTATCCCAAAAACGACTTTTTCAAGTAGAAGGTGATTTTGTTCATGGTACATCCTAGGGCTGAGAAAATGGGCACTGCCTCGGGAGACAGCTCAGGCTAAGGATGACATATTAGGCTGCTAAGAAATAACTCATGAAGTTACTTAGAGGCAGGGAACAGAAGAGTCATTTTGAGGACTGTGCTTTCTCAGACATCCTCAGCTTTGCTGAGAAGCATGGATCTGGCTGCAGGGAATTTACAGCCTCTACTACACCAATATTTCACTGCAAATGGAAGAATCTAGTAAACAATCAGGTTACTACGGAGGGAACTTTACAGCCTCCTGATACCTTTTGGGACAAGAGAAAAGATGGCAGTGAGGTCTGCTGCTCTAAATGCTTCCTGGCTCTTGTCACTATCCTTGATATAAATTCTGATTAGCTATAAGGGTGGCAACCCAGAGAACCCAGGGAACTGGTGAGCGGGGCTGTATAAGAAATAATAGTTTTGACTTGGCTTTTTCATGGCTTATCTCCACTTTCATACTCAGCTCCTAGGAGCGCCAGACTCCAGAGAGGCTGTGGGCGAGAAGAGTTCCCATAGTGACGGGGTGCTTTGCAGCACTAGGATGTCCCCTGTCTTGTCTGTGTGAATGCAGCTGATTGTCAGAGCCATCATGGCTCCTTCTGAGTGCACTGCCTGTGCCCCACCCCACCAGGTCAAAGACAAAAGCTGGAGATGAGACGTCGCCCCTGTGTGTACAAATGAGTGCCAATCTCACTGTGGTTCTTTATCAACAGCAGCCAGCCGGGACAGCCAGGTGGTTCGGAGAGAAATTGCGAAAGCCCTCAGCAATAGCTTTCCTGTGCACTCACTCACCATTCAGATGGAACCTCTAGCCGACCAAGACCCCGACTGCCTTCTCTGTGAAGATCCCCTGGACTAGCTCAGTCGCACTGCCAGCTCCCCAAGTTCGACGGGCCGCTACGTGCTGCTCCGCAGTTCCTGAGAAACCAAAGTAAGAAGTTTGAGAAATTCATGATACAGTTCAATGCACACTTTATCCTTCTTTATTTAGCTCCACCCACCATGAATGAAAATACGTTTAGATTCATCAGTCCATTGGATTATCAACCCATCTGTAGCTGTGTTCAATTCCAGGAATGTGTGTATAGATTATTCTTGATTGCGGGGGGGGGGGGGGG